ACAGCCTTCTTTGATCATATTTACCAAGGGTGACAATAATTCTGACCACGACTGTATAACACACGCACTACCGGTCAAAGGTTTTTAATGTGTTTGAAACAAGTCACCAAGGCTGCAATAATAGTAATATTGAGAAATACTATTTCAATTTAAAGGGGTGGTTGATTGCGATTTCACTTTTTTAATGTTAGTTAGTGTCTAATGTTGCTGTTTGAACATAAACAGTATCTGCAAAGTTACGAAGCTGAAAGTTCAACGCAAACGGAGATATCGTCTTTTAAAATTCTGGCAGTTTAATGCCTACAAAAACGACTGGTAAGGGACTACAACAAGTTACTTCCCGGGTCCGTTACATCAAGAACCCAGAATTTGACATAAACCGCCTCCGGGAACACGCAGCAAAGGGGGCGAGGCCATGCTGCGCTGCTTTAGAGAAGAGGAAGAGAAAACTGGGGTGCACGTAAAAATCCATTCATATATGAATCGCGATTCTGTCTTCTAACGATTCTAATGGATTCACAAGTTTCAAAATCAATGTTCTAAAGCAGCGTTCTCATCCTGTTCCTGGCTTCGCCCTGCTCTGCACATGCTCTGCATCTCTCTCTCTCTCATTCAGATCATCAGCTCAGTGAATACACTTATTTTCACATAGCTATGAGAAGCATTATACATGGACGCGCGTGCGGTTGCCATACTGTATTAAAGCTTTAATCGGAATAAAACCGTATATTAAAAGCTAACAGAAGCAGTAACATTTACAAATAACCGTATCTAAAAGTATGAGACAACAACAAACAAAAATCTTAGGCCTACCGTTAAAAGCCATGCTTGCACAGGTTCTGCGCGATCCATTTCACTAATATCCTCTGCGTCTCAATCAGGCTCAAACTGATAAGCAATATAGACGACGTCATTGTTTACAATACAACTGGAGCACATGCCGCTATGTTGAGGGGCGGGACGCTTAGACGCACGCTAGAGGCGGTTTAGCCAATCACAACACACTGGGCTAGCTAACCAATCAGAGCCCATCGTGTATTTCTGAGGGAGGGGCTTCATAAAAGCAGGAAATGATCAGCGCGTTCAGAGTAAAAGGGACAGAGCGGTGTGGAATAAAGGTAAATTATTTGAAAAATAATGCATTTTTTAACAAACTAAGCATTAACACATGTTAGACTGCACCCCATAAACACAATCAAGCCTATAAAAAAAAAAAGTAAACCACCCCTTTAAAGTACCTGTTTTCTATGTGAATATATTTTTAAATAATTTATTCCTGTGATGCAAAGCTGAATTTGTGTAAATATAATTGGTGGTGCAAATGTAATTTATTCTGAAACAATATTTTCAGTCTTCTATATCAGTTCTTACTTACAGAAATCAGCATATTTGTAATATTTTCCCCTTTAAATAGAATTCCAAGGTGTTTGTTTTTTTTTTACCTAAAGAAAGCACAATTTTTTTCCTAATCTTATAAAATGTTTGTGTTATCTTTCAAATCAAATTCTTAAATTTCATTAATGAATTTAAATACAAACCCAATTCCAAAAAAGTTGGGACACTGTACAAATTGTGAGTAAAAAAGGAATGGAATAATTTACAAATCTCATAAACTTATTTTATTCACAATAGAATACAGATAACATATCAAATTTTGAAAGTGAGACATTTTGAAATGTCATGCCAAATATTGACTCATTTTGGATTTCATGAGAGCTACACATTCCAAAAAAGTTGGGACAGGCAGCAATAAGAGGCCGGAAAAGTTAAATGTACATATAAGGAACAGCTGGAGGACCAATTTGCAACTTATTAGGTCAATTGGCAACATGATTGGGTATAAAAAGAGCCTCTCAGAGTGGCAGTGTCTCTCAGAAGTCAAGATGTGCAGAGGATCACCAATTCCCCCAATGCTGCGGCGAAAAATAGTGGAGCAATATCAGATAGGATTTTCTCAGAGAAAAATTGCAAAGAGTTTGAAGGTATCATCATCTACAGTGCATAATATCATCCAAAGATTCAGAGAATCTGGAACAATCTCTGTGCGTAAGGGTCAAGGCCAGAAAACCATACTGGATGCCCGTGATCTTCGGGCCCTTAGACGGCACTGCATCACATACAGGAATGCTACTGTAATGGAAATCACAACATGGGCTCAGGAATACTTCCAGAAAACATTGCCG